GGGGAAGAGACAGAAATATTTAATAAATAAATAAATAAATTTAAAAAAAATTAAAAAATAAAATAAAATACATGTTGAAACATGAAAAAAAAATCAGGTGTCCATGGGTGTGTGGATTGATATCTGGGTCTTCAATTCGATTCCATTGTTCCTCCTGTCTGTTTTTATGCCAGTGCCAGGCTGTTTTCAGTACTGTAGCTCTGTAGTAGAGTTTGAAGTCAGAGATTGTGATGCCTCCAGAAGTTTCTTTATTGTACAGGATTATTTTGGCTATCCTGTTTTTGTTTTTGTTTTTGTTTTTTATTTCTAGGCAGAGCGTTTCCCTGGATAGTGACTACACAGGGTGGTTTATGGCCTCTACCAAGGCTTGCCTAATCCCACACCCACACTATAAGCAGGTAGCCAGCTTCTAAAATATAGCTTATTTAAATTGTGCAAGTTTTGAGTCTCTTCTACTTTTTTATCTGAAAGAATAGTTATATCATTAGTAATCACTCAAATCATAATAAAGCATGTGTAAAGTAAAGAGGTCTTCTACTGAAATACAGTGAGCAAATGCTAGGCTGTGACACTGTGTTCATGTGCTGCGGCATAATGCTCTTGTACACTATAAAGATTTGTCACTCACATTCATTTAATAAAAGCTGACTGGCCAGTAGCCAGGAAGAAAGTATAAGTGGGGGCCACCAGACTAGGAGGATTTGGGGAAGAGAAAAGGCAGAGATGCAGTTGCCAGCCAGACACAGAGGAAGCAAGATAAGAATGCCAGGTACCAACCCACATGGCTAAGCATAGATAAAAATTATGGATTAATTTAAATTGTAAACACTAGTTAGTAATAAGCCTGAGCAATAGGCCAAACAGTTTATAATTCATATAAGCCTCTGTGTGTCTATTTGGAACTAGAAGGCTGTGGAACTGGGCGAGACAGAAACATCCGTCTACATTCATGATATTGGTAATTTTCCCTAATAACTTGGAAATGAAAGCCAGCAGCTCCTACATATTCACAAGGAAACTTTCATACTGGTATACTATAAGCTGCCAAAAATAATATATTTTTCTTTTTTGAAAATAGATTCTTTTCTCATAGATTAGAGTTTCCCCTCCCTCTACTCCTCCCAGTTCCTCCCCCACCTCCTCTCTCCTGTGGATCTGCTCCCTTTGTCTCTTATTAGAAAAGTACAGGCTTCTAAGAGATAACAACTAAACATGATAAAAATAAAATATAATACGATGAAGAAAATCTATCATGTTGAAGTTGGACATGGCAACCCAACAGGAGTAAAGGAGTCCCAAGAGCAGGCACAGAGTTGAAGACCCACTGCTTCTCACAGTCAGATGTCCCATAAAAATCCTAAGCTAATAGCTATAGTGTATATGCAGAGAACCTGATGCAACCTGTGTAAACCCTGTGCTTGCTGCTTCAGTCTCTGTGAGCTCATATGAGCCTTGCTTAGTTTTTAGAGGGCTGTGTTCTCCTGGTGTTCTCCATCCCCTCTGGCTCTTCAAATAGTTCTGCCTCCTCTTCCACAGGATTCCCTGAGCTGGGGGAAGGAGGGACAGATTGATGGAGACCTTCAATTTAGACTCCACCTGCATAAGGTCTGGGTACTGCCAGAGGAAGCCTCTCTGATGATGGCTGGATAAGGCACTGGTCTATGAGTACAGCAGAGCATCACCAAAGATTGTTTTATTGTTTTATCTTTCTTTCCTTTATTCATGTAGGGTTTGATTTTTACCCTAGGTCTCTGGGCTATCTAGTCTCTGGTTCTTGGTTACTCAAGGAGAGCTGGTTCTGAGTTCCTTCTCGTGGAGCCGGCCTTAGGTCAAATCAGCATTGGTTAGCTACTCCCACAAATTCTGTGTCACTATTTCCCTAGTGTATTTTGTAGGTAGCACATATTGTAGTCCAAAGGTTTTTGTGGCTAGGTTGGTGTCCACGGTTCTCTTTGGTCGCCTGCAGAGTACCTTCCCTCACCAAAGAGACTAGAGTAGGAGTGAGAACTCCATTCAGGCACCAGCTCAGCTTCTCAAAAGAGTTGTGTAGGTGTTGTCCTTGGCAATGGGGCCCCACTGTGAGTTTGCAGAGAGGATCATTTTGTCTTAGTGTACAGCTTGGATTATTTGTGGATTTCCATGGGAGTCCCCTGGCCAACAACTCAACTGAATGCAACCTAGTCGGAGCCTCAAAACGGGAAAAACTCGTAGAAAGATATTCAAAGCAGTTTGGAAAATTGGGATTTATTAATGCTTTTCTGGGAAATTCTGACTTTCCAACATGTTGCGATTTCTCCACGTGTATGATGGTTTCATATTTTTGCCTTCACACACCCTCAATGTCTATTAAATGTTGGAAATTAATGCTGGCACTCCCCCTAGTGGTAGCATTTGTCATTAACCTACATTATAACTTCAAAACTGGCTTCCTACTCCCAACTATTTCTCTCCAACTTCCTCCAAAAGCCAGAGAGCCCACCAGCAGAATGAGCCGCACAGTCCTAAAGCAGTTCACTAGCTTTGCTTGGTCTTTCAGGAAGCTCCGACAGTCAGTTGACTAATCACTGCGCTAAGTTCATTATGTGCTATGAGACACGGGAACAGCCTGACAGCTCAGGAAATATAGGCAAAATAATCACAGCTCAGTATAAAAAGTGTTATCACAGGGAAATAAGCAGCCAACAAACCAGAGGTAAAAGTCTTCCTGACAGGAAATTCAGAGAAAAGTACCTGAGCTTCAGTGGGTGCAATTTCTGCCATGTGGAATACGCGGTTTGTGTGTGGAGAGGCGTGGCGCTGTTCTGTGATGCACCTTGGGTAGCAGCCCTGCGGAGAGAACCTGCGAGCCTGGAGCTGTGAGGCCTTCCAGTCCCCTGGAAGGGAACCTGAAAGCAGATTCTTCCTGAGCCGATCCTGGAGATGACTGCAGCTCTGGCAGCACGTGTAATCGGGGACCTTCTGAGCTAAGCTTGCTTCTGGGCAGCTCAGAGGGATCTGTCCATGTTCCTTGCTGGATCCCGCAATGAACAAACAGTTATGCTGTTTGTCAGTGTTACAGAATTCTTGTGGTTCCATTTAAATTCTGCACACAACATTTTGCTGAGATTTGTCGCTGATTAAATAAGGGTGCCACTAAGCATGTCAAATTTGAGAGAGCGGGCTGAAGGGCTGTGAAGGAACAGACAGGAGGCTTGCAGCACAGAGAACCTGCATCCAGTTTGCCAAGTTAGAAGAGGTAGGGATAATCTGAAACCTGAGTAATTAGGAAAATTGCGTTTTCTTGATATGTCAATATTAAAGTAACTGTATATACGCATCTAAAGATGAAAAATTTAACCAATATTCCAGAGTTCTAACCAAGACCAGGACACGAACCTCCCCAGGCAATTATTAACTGATAATAACAATGAACTGAACAATGTCCCCGAGTTCAGAATTCTATTCACTAGTAATAATAGAAAGGAAAATTACAGAGTCCAAATTTTATCAAATACCTAAAGCTGCCAAAGCAATAGCTGATGATAAATATGAACTTTGTAATCAAACAGAAGTCAAATCTAGCTCTTGCTCCACTAAGCAAACATGTTACCTACATTGCTGTATTTTAGATACGAGAGGCCTCATGCTCAGAAGAGATAGGTAAGTCTCACTAAGCAAAAGTAAAAAACACTTTTATATAAGTTAAAAATATAAACAGAAAAAAAAACCTTAAAGTAGGCACTAATCCCATTATAAGATTAACCCGTGAAAGACACAACTTCTCTTTTCTCTTGAGATGAGACAGCAGGAACAAAGGTCCCTGGTTAGGAATTCAATGGAGTCCTTGCCAGAATGGGCACTTCAAAGTCTATTTTCTGGGAATCAGAGACCTGCCACTGAAGGGTAAATAGCTCCATTCTAAGGGAGAAAGTCATTTAACCTGGATAAAATCACTTATAGACTTAAGACATAGTGGCTTCATGCTATTTATGTGGTAAACTGACCTCTCTTTTCTTCCATGCAGCCTTATATCATATATTCTCCATGAATTGGTGATTACCCTGGGGTTACAAGTGCATGCATATTATATACACAAACCTATTCCATTATAAATTTAACTTTTGAGAGAGACATGTCTTCTCTTTTCCCTTGAGACTGAGACAGGAGGAACTAATGTTCCCGGCTAGGAACTCAATAGAGTCCTTGCCAGAGTGGGCACTTCAAAGTCTATTTTCTGGGAATCAGAGACCTGCCACTGAAGGGTAAATAGCTCCATTCTCTACATTCTGGATGGCACAAGGGAGAAAATCACTTAACCTGAATAGAACGACTTACAGACTTACGGAAGCCACATAGAGGCTTCATGCCACTTAGGTAGTAAACTAACCACTCTTCTCTTCCATGTAGTGTTATATCACACGTTCTCCAAGAATTAATGATTATCCTTGGGTTTCAAGTGCATGCATATTATGTACGTACAAAAAATGACAAAATCAGCCTACGGATGAAAACAAAACAAAACAAAAAGATTAGTCTTCAAACTGGAAGAAACATTACCTAGAAGAACCAACATAGAAAACACAGTCCTAGAACCTTTGGACCAGGACCACAGAGCTACCACTCACAGATTATACTGTGCTCGATAGATACTGGGTAGGTAGATGATAGAGATAGGTAGGTAGGTAGGTAGGTAGGTAGATAGATAGATAGATAGATAGATAGATAGATAGATAGAATTTAATATTAGATTCTTAATCTTACCCTGAAATTCTATTGCTATTTTGAATAGAGCTTTGGGGAACTTAAAGACTTAAGTAAGCAGGTAGATGCAGTGAGTGGCATTTCTAAGCTTGGGTTTCTCAAGGATACTGGCGTACTGCTACAGGGGATGACTGGGACAGGTTCAGGGAGTCAGATACGGATGTGCAGCTTCAGAAAATAAGGCAAGAACTAAAGGGCATCCATGGAGACATTCTCTGAAGAGCTTGCCTCTCGACTCTTCAAAATAGTTTCTATTTCTTCACATTTTCTTCACCCCTCTGCAAATCTATTGACTTGAGAAAGTGAAATAATATTGGCGAGTAACACAATCTTGACACAGCACAGAACTCATGTGCTGATAGTGTTTAAAAGCAGCAAAGGGTTTGATTTTCCCGGGTCCCAGCTCCCTGGTCTTTTGCCCCATCACAGCTCACTCAGGCCTGTTCTACAGTTTCCCTGTGCTCATCTCTGAGTGCTGCTACTGCTGCTATGCCTCTCCCCACAAGCCGGAGGCCAAACATTCATCCCTCTTTGTTAGGAACAACATCATTATCTTAATGCATGTGTGAGTGTGTTTGTGGGGGAAGTGGTGCAGGCACAAGTGTGTGCAGCTGGAAGACAGAGAGCAACCTCAAGTGTCATCTTCAAGAGCACTGTTCACCTCCTTGACCACTGAGCTAGACTCACCAGGCAGACCAGGCTAGCTGGCCACTGAGCACCAGGGGGCCTTCTGGCTCTGCTAGTACAGTGCTGAGATCACAAGCAAATGCCACCATGGCCAGCACAGGCCTAAAATATGGTTCTAGGAATCAAACCCTGGTCCTCACATTTGCAGGACCCTTCAACACGGCAGTGGCTTTGTTCTGGAAACTTCATCTTGCACTCACTTTCAAAGAAGTCACTGAAAACCGAGCATAGTCGTGCTTTAATCCCAGCACTCAGGAGGAAGGGCTAGGCAGATGGATCTCTGGGAGTTCAAGGCTAGTCTGGTCTACACAGTGAGTTCCAGGACAGCTAGGGCTACATAGTGAGATCCTGTCTCAAATTAAGAAGAAAAGAAATCAAAAACAGTAGTAGAAATGAAGCAAAACCATAAGTACATGAGAAGATGCATTAATTCCTACTGTGTTAATGCTTACTATGATCCCAAGGCACAGGTACAACTTAGTCATCATTTACAGAGTACCTGGTGCTTTCCAGAACTCTAAAATTCTCTAGGGAGGACATATAAAATGCCATCTCAATCCTAATGACATGCTACTATACCCACAGACCATCCCTCGCTCATTCCACATTACCTCAGTAGAACATGAAATCAGCTGGGGCTCATGTGGCTATCTCAGTGTGCCTAACGAGCAAGCCAGGACAGAGTGGAGAAGACAAAGCCTGTACGTCTGAAGGATAGCTCAGAGTTTAGTAGGCAAGACAGCCGTGGGACAGCTCCACGCAGGGCAGCACACAAGCAAGAGGGTCAGAGGAGGATGCAGAGAGCATGGGGGAGCAAGACAAATCAGGAACTGAAGGGAAAGGGTCAATAGTGTTTAGTGTGTGGGTAAGTGTTCGGGAACACCTGAGTGAGTTCTGAGGTTGATTTGGGAAGACTTAGAGAGTTCTGGATGCTTATACCAGAAAAGATATCTGATTTTTTAAAAACTAGAAAATGAGAGATAAAGGGTTTTTTTTTTTAAAAGAAACTATTAATAATATAAATCTAGTGCTTTGAAACAGCGACTGCAGAAAGAGCTGTACCAGCAGGAGACTCCTTATCAAGATTACTACAACAGTGTAAACAAGAAATAATGAGAAGCCTATCTGCAGATTAGTAACAGTGGGAAGAGGAAATGAAAGGAGTCACAGGGCTTGTCAGTGCTGTAGAATGGCCAGGGGAGCTTTTAACCCTGAGAAAAAGAACAGACACTCCTGTCAAAACAGAAGAGAGCCATTTTCACATTTGAAAAAAGGAGACAGGTTGTTGTGTGAACATAAAGACTTAAAGTAGAGATGTCTACAAGCAATTAGCATGTCCAGCCTAAAGCACCAAGGAAGCTGGGAAGGAGGAAGAGGGAGAGAGGAAGGAGGGAGGGAGGAGGTGGAAGGAAGGGCCACAGTGATGAACATGGAGGTGATAAAGGCTAGAAAAGCTCACAGCTACAGAAAAATTTTATAAAAGGTTAGGTATTTGGAAGGTTTGGTTTGTTTGATTTTTGCAAGGAGACTACTAATAACCTTTAAAGATGTTTAAGTAGAAAGGTAAATGTTAGGAATAGTCCTAAAAATGAGCCTCTCCGCTGACACAAATAATCCCAATCAGACCAAATCAGACCAAATTAAAAGATATCCAGGTTTAATTGGATGCCTGCGCTCTCAGGTGGCCCGAGGAGGGAGGGTACAGAAAGACAACAAGACCACCGAAGAGGAAGAGAGAAGACCACATGTTTATTTTCTGGGGAGCAGTTTAAATAGCCTGTGGGAGTGGTCTTGACCTTTCCTGGGGAGGGGTCAAGGTTTGATGAGCTCAAGGGAGGGAGCTTCCAAAGATGGAGGCCCAGAGGCTGGGATTACAGTAAAGGTGGAACCCAGTGAATTATAAAATGAAGAGTGGGTAGTGAGAAAGTGGAATAGGCCGGGAATGGTATAAAATCAAACAAACCAGCACTCGGAAGGCATAAGCAAGCAGATTTCTTGAGTTTAAACCAGCCTGGTCTACATACTGAGTTCCAGGACAGCTGGGGCTATGTAGAGAGACCCTGTGTCAAACAACAACAACAACAACAAAATAAGCATGTGGAAGACAGAGCATGCACTATACTTTGGAAAGTTGAATAAACTACCTTTATCTAATATTAAATCACTGAAGTCAAGAAGAGCTGGTGAATGCTATGGGAACACAAAGAAGAAACGCACCACCAACGGATGGTGGCACAAAATAGATTATACTTTTAATACACAGAATACAGAATATTTTTAGAATGCAGAGTTTGTACATGATCAAAATGTAAAATATGGCTGGGCAGTGGTGGCGCACACCTTTAATCCCAGCACTTTGGAGGCAGAAGCAGGCGGATCTCTGTGAGTTCGAGGCCAGCTGGTCTACAAGAGCAAGTTCCAGGACAGGCTCCAAAGCCACAGAGAAACCCTGTCTTGAAAAAAAAAAAAAGTAAAATATGTAAAGTAGGGTCAGAGAGATGGTTCAGCAGGCAAAGGCAATTGCCTCCAAGCATGCCCATTTCAGCTCAATTCCCGGAGCTCACTGCAGTTAAGAAAGAGAATGGAGCCCTTCAAATTCTCCTAACCTACACACGAGCGCAAACACACACACACCAACACACACTCAAATGCATTTGTGTACACACACTAAATGTAGTAAACAATTTTAAATATGTAAAACAAAAAGTACTATAAAAAATAAAAACTGCATAACAATGATCTTTACAAATCTCTCGTGATCCAATTAATAACAAGCAGAGCGACCTGAGTCCAAAAAACCAAACTGCTGATCCTCAGCGACAGTCAGGGAAACAAAGATCACACAGAATCATGTGTCCTGTGCACCACCATAGATCAGGTTTAAGCCTGGTGACTCTGAGCCTGAGTCTCCACACCCTGTCACTCAGAGGTCCAGTCAGTTTGTAAACATGAGTCGCTCTGACCATCTCAGCTGCACACCAGCAGTTCCCAGAGCAGCCCAAAGTGTGGTCGTCAGGATGGAGTCAGAAGATACAGTGAGACTACAGAGGCAAAGCCAGCCAGCTGTGGAGCAGGACTTTTAAGTAAGACACAGCAGGAGGAACTTGGGGGACAGTGAACTCTTCCACTCACCTTCTGGAGTGATGGATATATGATTTTTTACATTGGCCTAAGGTCATAAACTTAAGGATAAAATATAATTTTGAAAAGTTGAGTTGGTCGTCAGTTGGAGACGTCCCTTTTCCCAAACTGCCATCATGTGTTAGTTACTCTGCCCCTCAGCACCAGCGCTCAGAGCCCCAGGTCAGGCAGGCTCTAGACACTGGTTCTCAGGGGCTGCAGCCCTGCTGTCTATGGAGAACACTGTGAGACCCAGAGCCACTGGGACTGTGTTCAGGCACACACATCCAGAGGGACAGTGAGAGTTGTCCCCAATAGTGACTACATGGCTCCCTGATCACAGCAGTTGAAAGGGACTCTGGCAGCTTTTTTGAGCACCCTTAACAAAAGTGTTTCCGTGTCCGAACCATCAGTGTTGCCTTGTTAGCATGGGCTGGCTCTATCAGACTTGGATGTCCCATAAGAACCTGTGCAGCAGGGGTCGTGGAAAGAACTTTTATGTAGCCACCAACTCTCCATGAGCAAAAATAAAAAAACAAAACAACAGGGGAAAAAGGAGGTGCATAAATTATACAACATTTACAATTACAATATAATCATACAATTATACAATTGATACAACAGAATACTCAACAGTAAGAATAAACTGCAGATAAAGGCACTGGAGATGGCTTCAAGCATGACTCAGCAACTAAGGCCACTCTTCCAGAGGACCTGGGATCAATTCCTAGAATCTAAATGGCAGCTCACAACTCTCTATAATTCCAATTCTACGAACTTTGATAAGCTCTCTGGCTTCCATGGTGACCGAGTACACATGTGGTACACAGACACAAATGCAGTCAAAACACCCATATACATGAAATAAATAAATAGAGGCACCGTGAACCATCAACACACAGAACTAAGGTGGAAACACATGAAGGGTATACACTAGGAATCCCTTCACACAAGCTTACTAATAAACAAAACTGAACTAGTAGAAAGGAAAGAAAACTGTGTGGTAAAATCACAAAAGTGCAAGGAAATTATCAGGCTGTAAGAGAAGAGTGGGGAAGAGGGAAGCTCCAGAGCAACTGAAACATCTTTACTAAGTGGTTATCTTTAACTCAGCTTTATACAATTAATGCGCTTTTCTCTATTTGATATATTGTAATAAAAGATAAGAAAATAACTAATTAAAAGAACTCTTGGTGCCAGCTTGGAGCGATGGGTTTGTAGATGACCTATGACAGTACAAATGTCACAGGAGGAGTCAGTCAGGGCTGTGATTGGACAACCAGCCAGCAGGAATACTATTTATTCAGTTCTCAGCACAGGACACAGAGCATTCTGGGTAGAGGTGAAAGACCAGTCACAAAGACACTTCCAAAGCAAGCTTCCTGAGGAAAATGGGCACCAGGGGAAAAGTAAGTAAACAACCTGTATCTACATTTATCTTCTGCTTCTGTTGGGTCTCTGCACATTTGCTGAAGATGCTGCCCCCAGGTTACAGTCAAGGCACAGCAAATTAAAGCCAACTAAAGGGAGAGGAACAGTCCAGAAGCTAGAAATTGGTTCTAAGAAAAAGCAACTCTGGATTTGCTGAAGTCTTCTTGGGTACTCACACATTATTTAAATGAGGATGAGGGGTGAAATTAAGTTACCTCTGCTCTAAGCATCAATGCAGAGTATGAATTTATAGCATGGGAATGAATGGGACAAGGTAGATTACTAAATGCTGTGTGTATGACCCCATGTGAGGACACCCGAGGGCTTTACAACATAAGGAGAAAGAAAGTAATAAAAGTATAGGTGGATTTTTTTTGTTACTTATATTTTGAAATTTCTTGTAATGAATGTATATTGCACTTGTAATAGAAGAAATAACTATTTAAATCATAATTAAATATTGCAAAGAACAATTGAGAAGGTTTCAAATGGTTAAAAAAATTATTCCAACAGTACAGGCAATAATAAGGACAAAAGATTATAGACTTTCTTTCAATTTCCTTCCAATTTTACTTATACTTGAAATTTAAAATGTAATTTGAGACTAAAAAAATTAATGTAAGAATTAATTGTAAAACTTCCTGTGTTTTGCTTCTTTTCATGTACTTTAACTCAATTCTTAGAAGAATTTTTTTTTACTGAGCTATACAGTTTTCTCCACTCCCCTCCCTTCCTTTCTCCCCCTCCCCTTCTACCCTCTCCCATGACCTCCACACTCCCAATTTCCTCAGGAGATCTTGTCTTTTTCTCCTTCCCATGCAGATCCATGTATGTCTCTCTTAGGGTCCTCTTTGTTGTCTAGGTTCTCTGGGATTATGAATTGTCAGTTGGTTTTTCTTTGCTTTATGTCTAGAAACCATTTATGAGTGAGTACCTATTATATTTGTCTTTCTGGATCTGGGTTACCTCACTCAATATGATGTTTTCTAGATCCATTCATTTGCCTGCAAATTTCTAGATGTCATTATTTTTACTGCTGTGTAGTACTCCACTGTGTAAACGTACCTCATTTTCTTTATCCATTCTTTGGTTGAGGGGCATCTAGATTGTTTCCAGGTTTTTGCTATGAATAATGCTGCTATGAACATAGTTGAGCATATGTCCTTGTGGTGCAATTGAGCATCCTTTGGGTATATATCCAACAGCAATATTGAGGTAGATTGTTTCCTAATTTTCTGAGAAATTGCTATACTGATATCCACAGGAGCTGTACCAGTTTGCACTCCCTTTACCCCACATCCTCTCCAGCATAAGTTGTCATTAGTGTTTTTGATCTTGCCCATTCTTACAGGTATAAGATGGAATCTCAGAGTTGTTTTGATTTGCATTTCTCTGATGGCTAAGGATGTTGAGCATTTCCTTAAGTGTCTTTCAGACATTTGAGATTTGTCTGTTGAGAGGTCTCTGTTTAGGTCTGTAATCCATTTTTTATGGATTACTTGTTCTTGAGTTTCTTTGTATATTTTGGAGCCTGGTCTACAAGAGCTAGTTCTAGGACAGGCACCAAAACCTACAAAGAAACCCTGTCTCGAAAATCAAAAAGGACTCCTGTGCCAGTGTGTTCAAGTGTACTTCCCACTTTCAGGAAGAGAACAATTGA